AAAAGTTCGTACTTACATACTCTTCTAGAATTTGACATACTTTTCCTACCCAAATTAAGCATTCATCAGTTCCAGGAGTTTCTCCTTTTCCCATACACTGCACTTTCCCCTATGAATTCTTTGACTCTGCCTTCAATTTAGAAAGTCGGCTCCCAACTGCTGCTTCTCCAAATGAACAATATTCCATCTTGCTCTGATGAGAAAAATAGTAATTGATTTTAATTCATATTCACGCAAATTCTTTCTTGGTGCTTTAATACATTATTTTAAGGAACTTGAACCTCCATAAAGTAACACAATTATTAACAAACACAATTGCTTGTATTTCCAATCCATCAGCACGGGTCTGTCTCTACCATGGTCCGTAGCAAGAGCGCTATAACATTAAAATGTCATGTAAGTTACCAGGTTCATTTACACATGCCAAAGAGGAGTCACAAAGCACTTTCAACCTTTCAGTGTGGGCACTTAATTACTGTAAGTCCATTATGGGCACGAGTCAAAAAGTAAAAATTTCCAAAACAGGATATATCTTCTTTTGTTTTCTATTATTTTGTGAAAAATTTCAGACACAGAAAAGTTGAATTATACATACAGTGACCATACCTAGATTCTAAAACTAACATTTTGCTGTATTACGTAAAGTCTTAAATTACAATTGTGGATATAGCTATACCGTGAGACTCAAAAGCAGCATTTCCTATTAGCTTATGTACAACTAGACCCCAAACCAGTATAATGAAGGTCTGGTTCTAGTATTAAAAGTATAGAAGAAATTTTTAATCCTACCTAGTGATCAGCCATGAAACTATTGTCAAAATGAACTGAGACTTTTCTAGACTTACCAAAAAGAAAAAACATTCTCATTTCTTCCAAAAAAATAAAAGACAGAAGTCAATTAAGCACCATGAAAAATAAATGAAATGGCCTAGACACTGACAAAAATATTATGTTAAAAGGAGCACTATTTGAAGAAAAAGGAGTAATTTACAACCGTGCATGCCATGAAACATGCTGCTCATTATAACAAATGTGCATGCTACTGTTTCAGAAATTCTAATCTGTTCTGCTAACTCTCTAGCAGGAAATTCACACTCAGTGAAAACAGTTCCTATGGACATTGTAGCAATAGGAGGCTCAACCCAGTTATAACTGGAAGCACACGACCTGGTAAGATATTACAAAAAAACAGCTGTCAGCATGGAAAAGCTTAGAATTTCAAAGGTTATATTTAGCTTTTTATTCTGCTTTAGTTCAAGGTGAAGTTATTCAAGTGATTAAATTTGACCAAATGTTGGTAGCACTAATAGCTATGTTGTTTATCTATAATGCTCTCCTCCAGGAACATAAAGCAATTTAAAAATGTTATTTTACTTTTCTTTACATTTTTGAGGTAGAAGCCATGAAACAATATTCCCAATTAACGGAGGTACAAATCAATTATGTGATTTGTCTAAGGTCCCAATATGCATTAGACCTGTAACTGGGAATGAAACCCAATCTCCTGACTACCATAAATGCCAGAAATATGCTCTCAAACAGCAGTAAATAAAAGAACAGTAATTCTTACAAAACGAGGCTATATTAGTTAAAGCTTAAAGTTTTGCTACTGATTATAACTACATGCAAAATAAAATAAAATAGAATTGCTTGGTGTTTGCTGAGGTCTGCTATACAGAGCAGCTCTGCAATGCTAGTATCATTCATCATCTTACTCTTCCTAGTTCTCAACAGCCAGGCTTCGAGGAGTGAGGACTGGAAAGGAAATGGTCTTCTCAGCCAGAGCCCTCCTAACTAGGTTCAGAGTCACTCCAGGAGGTTCAATTTCCACTGGGTTTTTTGGTTCATCTTTGGCGGTATAAAAAGCTCAGCATCTAAAAGAAAAGAAAGGGAAATTGTGACAGACATTCTTTCTTACTGTAAGAGCTGAGTAAGTAACTCTAACCTAAAACTAGGCTCCTGGGCTCTCCACCTACAAGATGACCATCGGAACCAGAGTTAATATTTCTGTTACCTTGCAACCTCCAGTCAGAGCAAAATCAGCCTGGAGGCCCTGCCCTGAGAAGAGGAATTCCACTGCAACTTCAGACACATGGGAAAGTAGAAGAAAAAATGCCCACTGACTGATTCAAAGTGGAAGCATGTTCTTCTATATTTCAAATGGGTGGTGGTGGTGATTACGAGGCCATGTACATTTATTAAATCTCATCAAACTGTACACCTAAAATCTGTACATTTCACTATTTCAATTACAAGAATAAAATACATGTGGTGGCATGTATTCAGTAAGTAAAATTAATGGAAAGAAAGTACTGTATGTAAAAAAAATTCTACAACACATCAATCACTAAAAACATTCCTACTTTGAAAAAGTAAATGAAGTGGGGGGATGGCTGGAGGAAAACTGTCACTGTTAGATACAACTCCTAAGCCCTCTTTCAGTTAGATGTGTGGAGTCTTTTATCTAAGAATCGTATACAGGAAGCAGAGATATGAGAAAATATGTATATATAAAGATGTTCTATCTTGGCATTTTTCATGACAAACTTCCAACAGTGCATCTGTACATATGAGCCATACAGACATTAAAACATATTTTCAAGAATATTTAATAATATGAGAAAAATGCTCAAAAAGTTTTTAAAACCATGATTATCATATTACACATCAATACATGTATATATACACGACTAGAAATCCTAAAATTTTAATTTCCTTTGACATACTTTTCTGTACAATCCAGGTTTTCTCTACTAATCATAACAGTTTTACAATCTCACATACAATTACTGCTCTACACTCCTCCGAACAAAAAACTACATAGGCAAAAAGACCACAGGAGGTTTTCCATAGTTGAGAATATTGATACTGGAAAAAGCTACTTAAACAAATTCATTGTCAACAAAGCTCATAATTTCATGTTAAATAGTGATTAAACTTTGAATAAGTTTAAAGTTTAAGCTGTGGTTAAACTTTAAAGTTATAAAAATATTCTAACTTATTTAAAAAATTAGGCAAAACTACAACTTTATTAAAACTACAACTTAATTAAGAATAAACACCAAATATTGACCTTTGGCAGAAAAGTAATTATTCTGACAAACTGTATGACAGCAGGACATCTTTCACATTTGAAAATGTGAAAGCCCAAAATGTCATTTTTAAAAAAATACTTTGAAGGCTTCATCAATTCTTCCAAGGACTCTTTATCCTTCGATAGTCATATCATTTCCATTTGAAGCACTTATTTTGTTATCAATTGTAAAAGTCCAACTCACTTACGATTTAAGGACTTCTCTGATAACATTTTTAATCCATTTTATAAAATCTTATATTTTTGCAAGACTTGCAATCGATCTGCATGATACTGCACTGCATCGTAAACATGAAACAATCAGAGAAAATGCCCCCTTATGGGGATGTATAAGTGTACTTAACTATTACTATTAGCTGAGGAGGGGCAACTGAGGAATATTTGAGTGGGACTAATTTTTTGAGTAGTTCACCTGCCTATTTGGGGATTATGAGAATTTCTCCTTCATGTAGCCACAGGGACGTGGATAATACACACTCAGATAATGAGGAGCCTCAAAATACTAGTCTTCATGGCTCAGTTGGAAAATGGAAGTGCTCTCTGATTAAGTCATCCATATTTCCCCAGAGAAAGGTGCAACTGGACTTGACCTAAAGATCAGTAACAGGCCAGCAACAAGGAAAATGGAGCAGAAATCATAACTGGATTGGACACAGTATAAATTACCAAACTGCCTTGTGTCTAAGACAGAATTTTAGCATCTCAGAAATAAGTGTATATGTTTTGGGACTGATACCAAAACCAGCTTGTCAGGAAGCTGTTTCTTCCAGGAAGAAGGGGAGCTAGGGATATAGTAGTTACTGTTCAGATATATGAACTTAGCTGGATGAAAGGTAATTAGTTGTTTATTCCAGGCAGCAACATAAGTCGTTAAAGTTAAATTTAATTAAACATCCAAAGGCTGCTTGCAAAGTCATCAAAATGCTATTATAGTACAGCATTTAAATGAAAAAATTTTAGAACATTGCCTGTTACATGCTAGAAAATGCAAATAACAGTAGTTAAATCTGCCAATTATTTTAGAACATATTGCTAACTTTCAATACTAACAGAGGCTGAGGACGCTTGATTGATCCACCTGAAGGGCAAATATTCGGGCACCAAGTTGAATTGTTAAAAGTTTCTACCAACTTTCAAATGAAAGCCGTTAAGGGCTTTAAATGTGAGGGATACATAAACTAATTGAGAATCATCTCCCCACAACAGTCAAACAAAACATTTTAGGTATAATTAAATAAGAAATACAGGTAAAATGCTAACATTCTTTGGATTTGCTTCCTGTAAATTCTCAAGATGATTAAAAAGGTCCAGCTGGTAAGCAAGGATTATGAAAATGTCCCTGAGATGTAATGCATACCTGCCAATAGCCCAAAAGGATGATTCAGAAGAATCTTTAAAATGTATGTATAAATTAGACTGTTTAAACTCAAACTTCAACTAGGATGTGCCTATATGGAAGAATATATGCCACTGTATTAACAAGTGTATGTCACGACAATTTAGAAAAAGTTATATGTTTAATACCACGTTGGATTCCCCACTCTACTTGAGTTCCCAACACTAGAAGTTTTAAACTGATCTGAGTAAAGATGTAGCTAAAAATTGAGGGAAAATTGTAGTCAATACCAAATCTTGCCTTATATCACTGACCTTGTCAACACAGGCAAAAAGATATTCCTTCAACTTAGCACTGTATCATTCAGAGGGAAAAAAAAAAAATACTAACCAAGAACAGGAACTGAAGTCTTCTGTTGTTGATAAGAGGCCATGATACTATTTGCAGTAGAATTGGGACCCAGAACCTAAGTAGAAAGTAGACGGTTTTAGCAAAGATTATCCTTAAACTTCTGATGGCTGCAATACCAAGGCCAGATCCCCACCAGCCCATCATGTTCACGGTATCAAACAGCACTTCTCCTATGTGATTTTAACTTGTCAGTTTCTCCAGTCTCAACTCAGACCTCTAAATCTCCTTTGTATCAGAAGACCAAAGTAATGATGGGGGTAAAAAAAATAAATAAAACTAACGATATACGCCTGATCCTTGCTTGAGAGGAGAGGGAATAGTACAAGAGGTTACAGAGTTCAGAGTATCAAATTGTACTGAAGGATTTGTGAGAATTTTTATATTAAAATAAATATTTGCATATCACGGAACAGAAAGAAAACTGTGCACACATATTCAAGGTTAAACAAGGAATTTCATGCTTGCACAAGCCTCCGTGCACACATGCCAGACCCTCTGCTTTGCCTTCACTCAGTTCTGCAGAATGAAGTGCATGCAGCCCCTTGGTGCACACTCAGCAGCAATGTCATGTGCTCAAAGCACTTCCACGTGACTCATGGTATTCTGCACATAGGCCATTACCATACCTTATCAACAAAAACAAAAATGCAAATTTCCTGGTCATTTTCCCTAAAAGACTTGTAAGTTAGTGACTTAGAAGTTAATATGATCTAAAGAGAAGAGGGGAGAGAAGGGCATGGAGGATTATGAATTGTTAGCTGCAAAATTACCACAGTTTTGAAGATGATCCCATTTTTTCTAGAAAATACCTATCATAGTAAATTCAATTATTTATGGGAGTATTGATTCTTAATTGCTTTTATTTTTATGGTTTGTAAGAGGCTTTTACATCCATCTTCTTATCTAACCTTCAAAATACTCCAGTGAAGTGGACAGGGGAAGTACTACCCCATTTATAACTGACGAAGTGGAGGCCCAGTAAACGTGTGTTTTGAACCAGTGAGCTGATTACCAACTACCTCTCAGCTCCAAACCCACCCTTCTGTGCGGTGCTCGTGATGCTGGCAATGGAAGCCTGAGAAAACACTCCTTCTTGAGCAGCTGGCTCCGTTATGCTCTGCCAGCAGCACACACCAGGAAAGAACATACAGCTGGAGGAAGAAGGAACCCGCTCCTTCATTCGCTTCCTTTCACTCAGCAGTAGCTCTGTACTCCTGCGGCAGCTGTTCATTCCAGTTATTGTTCATTTCTATACACTCAGACCCATTTTAATACACCTCCTCAGAAATTATGGGCACCAGCTGGCTGGCACCCTTTCTCAGAGGGTCAAGAACCAGCTCAGGAGGGCCCTGCCTCCAAGCTTCTAAATTCAAATAATCCCATACTCTTCCTTGTGTTCTCTCAGCCTGCTAAGGGTACCAGTGGCTTCCCACAGTTATTATCTCAGTGTTTCTGTGTTCCCCTTTTACCGTTCAGTTCTCCAATTGTTTAATCAGTTCTATATATTAAATTCTCTCTGATAAAGCAGCAGCTGTTTTGTTTTCCTTAACGAACCCTGACTGACAGATCCACCTTTCTGAATCCAAATCAAAATTCTTAACAATAGGCCTGAGTTGTGGGAGACCGAGCAGAGGTATAAACAGTAACTAGATGATGATATATTATAACTTTTTTTTTTTACATTATAATCCTTGATAGGATGCTAACAGCCTTCAACATAATGAAGAAAAGCTCATCATAACAACACAGAATTGACAAGTCAAATTTTCCATAAAACAAAAAAGAAAAGCAATTGTCTGGGGTTCGCTTAAAGAACACTGATCCCACCCAGAAGTCAGAACAGGGAGGTGAGAGGCTAATTCTGTTCCTATCTTCCCTGCTCCCTACGCGATCTCATAGAAGGCCAGGGGCAACTATCTGCTTTTCCCATCTTCTCCATGACAGCTGTTTCATAAAGGAGATATAAGAGAAAACTTAACCTAGGCCAAAGTGTACCAGTCACTGTACAGTCAAATACGAAATCTTATTGACAGCCTAAACATAAGCCTAAGGTAAGAACAGGAAAGTTTTGTTTTGGCTTTTAAGAGAGAGTATGCGAGGGTAATAACTTGTGAAATGGTGAAAAAATGCACATTCTGTCTTTGATGAAACTTACAGGTGCAGCTGAATTCTGCTGGTGGGTGAGAGTCCAAATTTCTGGAAGGGACCTTTCCATTAGCTGCAGAGTATCTTCAAAGGCCTTCTGTAACTCCCTTCCTTTCTCGTCAAACTCAAAGAGAAAGAGCACCTTTAAAATCTGGTGTATTTCATCTGGAGAAAAGAAATTTGAGAATGTTAAGTTGTGTCCTCAGCTCTACTGCTAAAATCATAACATAAGTTTCTTTCCCAAGCAAAAAACATTTAATGTCACACTATAATTGCCATCTCCCACATTTTCTTCTTTCTTCCCAAATGCTGGAGTAATTCAACATATTTACTACAAAAGGGAAAACAAACACACTGGGGCCCAAGCAGGAAGCAGTGTCTCCACAATCCTTTATCTTGGCTTCAGTGCTAAGCTCTCACAGCTCAGGTATGTGGATGCCAACGAAAGGCGGCTTCTAGGTTACTGGCTGTTTCAGGGATTTGCGTGGAATGACGGGGCTGACGGTTTTCACCTTTCTTCAAGTTGGAGAAATGGTATCTTAATTATCTACTGAACTCTGTCTGTGCTCTCCATTTACTATTTTTCTGTGGGCAAGAATCATCCATCAGTATTGCGTATATACCTTTCAATTTTTCAGTGCCCTGTACTACTTCATTCAATGCCTCCAAAAGGGCCAGATCCTCCAACGGACTCCCTTCTTTGAGGCTGTGCTTTTTCCGCTCCGCTTTGCGGCGATTCTTAGATGATCGCCTGTTAGAAATGAGAGATGTTTTAAAAATGGGCTCTCCTTGGGCTGCACACATTATAATTAACATACCTGTTGGCCACCAACTTTCTGAGGAACCAGAGTGTCTACAGATGGTATTTGAATTTGAGAGAAATGGTGACAAGGTGTTAAAGTGATACAAAAAATAAAATAGGGAGAAGCAAGTCTTACAGGCAGAAAGTAATAAGGAAAACCCTAAAAAGTGAGGTCTGGCCTTGACGTTTTTATTAAAATACAGAGTTAAATGAAGTTACATCTGAGAATAAGAGCTAGAACAATGAACAGAACAACGTTCAACTTAAATTTTGTAATAAAAAACAAATTGAGGCAACGAAATTTAAATAATAAGATACAGACATATCAGATTGAATTTGAATAAAATATATATGAATCCCATTCTTTCCTGCCTTGGAGGTCTTTAATATGCCATTTGTTTTGTCTGCGACTCTCTCATCCCCAGCTCTTAAATGCCCAGTTCTAGCTGCCTTTCCTGCAGTTTCTGATTGCCTCCCATGTCCTCACAGACCTCCATTCTGATTTCCTACAGCATAATTCTGTTTAAATATGTAATCTTGCATTGTTCTGTCTCCTAAGTAAGGCTAGAGCTCTTTTACCTCATCTTCTTAAAAGCTTGTGGTAACATTCACTACAACTCGCATATGGATATTCAATAAATATTTCTGACAAATTGCTAAACTGAGTAAAAGTGTGATGACTTAAACTTATGACTTCTTCCAATTCTGATTTTGAATTGAAGAAACCTGAAATCTTTTCTCTTCATATTCTTTTTATTTTTTCAGTGCCTATACATTAGTTACTTAATATTTGTTAAATGAAGAGTCAGGTGTTTTATAAATTGAGGATCCAGTGTAAGGTTCTCATGGGCACTGTGTAAACACACAGGCCATGAAGATGTAGCAGAACACATTTCAATGCCAAGTCTAATCTCTTAGATACGCTGGGAAAGCCCTCGCGTAACACTGGAGAATGTTCTTCCCTTCCATCTGTACTGTTCTGGTGGAAAACCGACCTATTTACCTATACTCTCTCCATTTACTCTGGCATGGTCAGTGTGCTAGATAAACATGATACATACGCTGATATCCTGGAGTTACTATGAGAATATTTGCCACTCATGTCACTGCCACTCATGACACTGCTAGTTTCAGAGAAGAGGTCTGACTCTTGACCGCGGGATACATCATCATCTAGAAAAGAACCAGATGAGTAATAAAAACTCCCTGCTAAAACAGGTTTATCATTAATGGGGAAGTGGATTATAGCTAACTGGGGCATATCTAAGGATGCATGAAAATTATCACAAAGTTGATCTCAAAATAAAATAATATTAAATAAAGTTATTATTACTGTATACCAGCATTAAACCTCTTTTGTCTTTTTTTTTTTTAAGCAAAGGAACCTTTGGAAACAGGGAGACTCCGTTTGTAAAACACAGCAGTCAGGCGTTCTGGGTGGGTGCAAGGGGAGG